AGAGAGAAAGAGAGAGAGAGAGAGATAAATAACCTTTACTTATACATCCAGCGTGTAGGAAGTCCCCGGCCTCGCAGGGCACGAATGTTTCCACATCTTAAGATTACGACTATTAGAGTCCGATAATCTCAGAGCCTAGACCTCGAGGATGTTGTGCTTCGTATTACGAGAGGAGCCGTAGAGGTGGGTTCCGGAAATTTCGACCACCTGAGGTTCTTTAGCACGCACTCGAAATATGAGCACACGGGCCTACATCATTTTCCCCTCCATCAAAAATGCAGCCGCCGCGGATTTGGTAACAGTGTTCTTGTGATACTAATGGTTCGACAGCAGCAAACACTGTCCAGAAGAGCAGTTGCGTTTTGACACGACATGACTAAAGAGCACGTTTCATTCAAATTCTGGTGTCGGCGCACTGCCAGCGTCAGCATCTTTGATTCAATACCCCTCCCCCGAAGAAAAAAACAGCGTTGTCCATGAGAGAAAAATCAGGAAGGCGATAGTCTGCGTGCGTGTGTTTGTGCATGTACGGGAACGCCTGTGTGTGCGCGCGCGCGAATATCGCTGTCGCACTCTGGTTGCTCAGCAAAATTACCGAAATACTTCGTCAGAAAACTTTCAACTAATGTATCACCCAAACTTACACGCTCTTGATTAAGAACTTAAGTCGATACGCTACCCTTGGCAGTCTTGCTGTTAGCGCCACGCAGATTTTGGCCTCTGGCATTGTAAGCAGCATGGTGACGCGGGGGGCAACTTCGTCGGGCTCCGAAGGTCGACCATGGCTTACTCCGTATACACTCACGTCTGGACTGTCGGGCTAGTGCCATCATCCATACTTTGCGCTATTTTATTAAGCCGCGCGGACTTCAACTTGATGAAGTGCTTATCAGAGTGTGAAAGCGAGCGAATTATACATATAAAGCAGTATATTTTGCGCAGCTCGTCCATTACGCCGCGATGCGGGACGCCTACAATCATATTTCGCGTTTGATGAAGCATCTAAGACATTCGCCTTAATAAACGGTGCTGTGCCCTAAGCACCACAGTCAGAAGTGCACCTGCAATGTTGCCAGCTGCATGGTGACGATGAAGTGCTAGAGACATTAAAAAAAAAAAACTTGGAAATTTGGCTTGACGACATCAAGCATGGCAAAATAATTATAATCACGACGACGGCATCACAGAAATAGTGTGTACAATGATTTTTGTTTACTGATTATTCTACAGCGTTCAATTTTTCTTGGTCCAAATAGGCATAGACGAGGCAGCTCGACAAAAAGATGATATTAATATGTGGGGTTGAACGTCCCAAAACCGCCCAAATCTGAGCAGACGGGTCTACAGCATGTCCGCCTCCATCGGGAAATGCAACCGCCGCAGCCGGGATTCGATTTTACGACCTGCGGGTTAACAGCCGAGTACCTTAGCCACTAGACCACCGCGGTGAGGCCGACAAAATGGCATCTGAATTTAAAACAAGAAATTACTTTTCCAGCGTGATGACGAACTGAGTCGGTAGCGTATAGGCCCAAACTATCAGTGTCGCGTTGAGAAGCATCCTCCTCTTCACGTTGAGGAGGCCCGTCACTGCTGAAGTCGAAACGATTCCTTTGGCATGCGTGCGTGCTGATTCATCATCGCCATGCTGTGGAGCCGCCGTCTCCATGCGCGATAAATTTGGCGTACTTTCAGAGGTTGTGTCAGGCACTGCAGATGCAATTGAACTTTCTGGCGCCCGTCGCTTCCGGAAAATCGGCTTTAAATCCAGCCGTTTTCGCAGAGCTTTTGCTTTTTTTATTGCTGCACGGTCAGGTATACTTTGGGCAGCCCCGGTAAGATGGCAGGCACAGCATCCGAAGTGAGCGTAGCTTTCTTTGATGCATGCAACGGGACATTCCCCTTGCATTCTGCATGATATGTGGCAGAGATCACTTCTTCCGGGAATGCTTCGCGCACATTTGATCGCATGACCACGGGCAGCGATTCTTATTGCAACAGAACTCTGACTGTGACTCAGTTGAAGATTCCTGATCGACGTTCAAGGATTCCTGATGGTCAATTAGGAGTGCTCTGACGGATTTTTCGACTGGGATAGGCTGCAAGGCTCCGACAGCTCTCGGAATTTCCCGTCATCACTTATCCAAGCGCCCTGGTTCACGCGAGCCTTCAAAAGCGACACAAGCTCCGTACAGGTCCGATACCGCGACTTGCAATTTGGAACAAAACAACACTTTGCCCATTTCAAGGCGCCGCCATGCAGCGACAGGGCCACTGACGCGCATTCGCAGTATACATGCAGCATCGAGGTATACGTGCACTGAATCACAAAGCACGAATCAAGTAAACAACTGAACTGGCAGGGCTCACAGGCACAGGGCAACGCTTTTCTAAATCACGAAATCCCGTGCACGCAAAGCTTGCAGGAAAATCTCGTTTTGCGCACGTATTTCAAAATGAGCGCCGAGCAAATAGCTGGCACGCTAGAGTTACCGTATGTACTACCTTTAGGTATATGCTAGCTAAAAGGTAGCATATACAGTAACTTTATGGCACGCCATACAGTATAGCGTCATCTCAACTCGCGCGACGGCAACTATACTCGTAGCTCAAGGTCATCGACGAACACAATCTGCTCGCGCCCTTCTTTGCGCGAGCGGCGAGTGTCAGCACCTAACTTATTCTTACGCCTTGATCTTCCCCAGTGCAGGGTAGCAAACCGGATGTGCGTCTGGTTAACCTCCCTGCCTTTCTTTGCATCTTCATCTCTCTCTCTCTCTCTCTCTCTTGATCCATACCCAACATAATTCTGCCCTCAGTGACGTTAGCACATCGCGTGATGACGTCACATCGTGACGCCACCACGCGATGTGCCACAGTCAGCACGTTCTCTCGATTTACCAAGCGAGTTTCACCTTAACTCATTGAGCTCCCGGGTTTCGACAAGATTTGACCGGCGTACACGCTGCCCTTTCCAGACGTTTCACCCCTGAAAGTAGCCGAGTGTCGGGCCAGCCGGGGACGCCTGCAGTGCCCATTTTGAAAACCAGTGGGTATCTGGCGGCACGTGGATTTGAACCCACGACCTCCCGCAGCCGAAGCAGGCACTCTACCACAATGCCACGGTTGTGGTACATTGCATCACTCGCGTTGACGCCGACGACGGTCAATTTTCGCGTTTGATGAGGCACCTGAAACGTTCGCTTGAATAACTGTTGGTACTTTACGTCCGAGAACCACGACACGCTTATGAGAGACTCCATGGGAGAGGGCTCCAGAAGTTTCATGCACTTTCTTCTTTTTTTTAAGCGCACAGGTATACGCATTTCGCCTCTACCGAAATACGGCCGGGAGTCGATCCCGCGGCCTTCGGGTCAGCGGTGTAGCGCCGTAATCACCAGACTACCCCGGCAGAAGGCCAGCTTCCCGACATTGGGCATAAACCCTGCAGAAGTAAAGCCTATGCTCAAGAACATGGAGACGATAGAGGCACACCACGAGATTGAAAGATAGAAAGATTGTACAACTCACTCGGGGCTGGTTATCAAACAAGAAACGTACACACGATGCACGCGTTTACTTGAAATGTTTGAAAAAAAAAATCGGAGGCAGTTTCATCATCATCATCAGCCTGACTACGTCCACTGCAGGACAAAGGCCTCTCCCATGTCCCGCCACTTAACCCGGTCCTGTGCTTGCTGCTGCCAATTTATACCCAAGTGGTTTACGGGTCCTTTAAGAAAGCTTTGTTTAGTGTGAAATACGCGTACAAAGGCGGCAGCGAACTGCATGTTTCAATTCCAAAGATGAGCTACTACTACTGCTGCTGCTGCTGCTACTACTGATTGATTGATATGTGGGGTTTAACGTCCCAAAACCACTATATGATTATGAGAGACGCCGTAGTGGAGGGCTCCGGAAATTTTGACCACCTGGGGTTCTTTAACGTGCACCCAAAGCTGCTGCTACTACTACGATAGCAGTTACTCTCTCTCTCTCTCATCTTTCTTTTCCCATTATTCCTTTTCCACCTGCAGTGTAGGGTAGCCAACCGGCTAAGTGCCTGGTTAACCTCCCTGCCTTCTTTCGTTATTATTCTTCTTTCTTCTCCTCCTCCTGTTACTACTACCTACTACTACTACTACTACTTTTACTACTACTAATAATAATAATAATAATAATAATAATAATAATAATAATAATAATAATAATATTATTATTATTATTATTATTATTATTATTATTATTATTATTATATTATTATTATTATTATTATTATTATTATTATTATTATTATTATTATTATTATTATTATTATTATTAACAGCAACAGTAAGCAAGAAAAAAACAAGATGTATATAGAGTAGGGAAGGTGAGGTCACGCACACACGCGCATTACATTTGTTGTAAAACAAATCAGCCTGAATCTCGTTTTCCCTGTCACAATTCTCGTATACCAAAGGGAACAGCTGGCATGCATCTTGAATAGTTAGTGTTTACTGAACAGAAGCTGCTTGCACATGTTCTCACGATCGCGCAAGCGTCTCATCTTTGCGCCGCTGCGCGCCCACCTTCTGTCACATTAATTTATGCTACGTGATGCTCACTAATCGCTCTGCGCGCACGCCACCGCAATGTGATAAAAGGCATTACGGGGCGGGTAATTTACCAATCGAGCAACGGACGAACCTCTCTTAAGCATTTGCAGAATTTTTTTCCATTTTCTTTTCGCTCTCGGCGACCTCCGATTGGCCGGGGCGGTGAGGCGAGCGATCTCGGGCTCCTCCCAAGCTTACACAACGGAGCTTATCACGCCGATATCGCGCTCGCCGTGCGGTAACTCTTAAACGGCCGAGAAGAGGGAAGAATGAGGAAAGAGGTTATCTATAGGTTCATCTCTCGATGCAATGCTCCGTCCTCCTCCGCGCAGCTGATACACCATATATCCCCTCCTCCCAACCCAACCAAACGCGCGAAAGCTTCGTAACACAGTACAAAAACATCGAGGGTCCCCTATCCGAGTCGCATATCGAAGCTGGCTCCTGGGTCTCTCGGTCCCAAGTGGAGTATAGATCAAGGCGCGGACGCTGGTTTACGAAGGCGACGCGAACAGCCGGGGACTTTCTATTGTCTCGCCGCGAGTTCGAAATCTTCGTGTGTTAACGAGTGCTAATGGCGCTCCGGTGAGCTAACCATTGGCGAACTGTCAAGTCCTTCCGCGCAACCCTCTACAAGTGCGCCAATCCAGACACCTTCTGTGAAGAAGAAGTAAGTGGCTCGGCGTTGTCAACAGTCAGTGTTCGTACTCCGTTCCACGAGTTCCACGTAAATCACTCTGCCAGTTCCGGAAAAGAACTACTCGGAGTCTTCCGCCCGAAGAGCGAACCCCTGGCCGACGAAACTTCCCGGGCCAGGTTCAAGGCCGTCCGAGCTGCGCACATCACCGAGAGGTTCGTCGCAAGCTCAGGCTTTCGAGGTGAAACTCTGACACCACGGCGGTACCATCCGTTTGAAGCAAAGCCGGAGTTCGCGAAGAGAACTGCGGGCACTTCCGAAAACGGATCCCCCCGAGTTCGCCTGGTTCCAGAGAAAGCTTTCGTTGACCGGTAAGCGAAGTATGGGAATTTCCCTTCGTACATCCCGCTCCAGCTGGTGTACTATATATACCTCTGGATGTGCGGCGTATCCAAATGCTTTGTTCCGATCTATCGAGAGGCAAACAGCATCTAAACGAGTTTATCCAGAATTTCCATTTTGTGGGCTTTATACTATAGAACTCAGGGGTGTGTGGAACAATGCCTGTTTGTAAGGCAGAAGGTGGGTGGGAGGAGGGTAGGTTGGTTCGGAATAACTATCTTATCCTCTTAGAGGAGATGGATTGTTAGGGGGGCGGGGGGTACTAAGGTCCGCGAGGTGATTCACGCCTTCGCTTTTTCTCAAATTAACCCTCATTCCCTCATTCAGGTAGATAGCCAAAATTCGGGGGCTATAAAGTAAATACGATGGCTTTAAAACACGTCTTGTGCCATCTAAACCAGACATTCAACTAATCCGGTGCTTCCATGGAAAGGCAGTACTAATCCACGATGACCTTTCTCCGAATAGCTCAACTTTGCATTCCCAACATATTCGTAGCCATAGTCGAATACTGTTCGCCAGGTGCCAACTTCCAAAAGGCGTGATTGGTTTCTGAAAACTGCTCTTTCTAACTGCCCTTCTTGCTTCGTCAACCCCATCTTCCATTGCCCATACTACACGGAAAGCAGTGGGGCATGAGGCAATAGTAGAAATATCATGCAGTTTATGGCCCTGAAAATCATTTGTGCGAGAATTTTTTGTTGCTGCTGTTCGGCTGGTGCATTCGACTACAAAACGTCTTTCCAGGAAAACCTTACGCGTCTTTTGAGACTTGGGAAGATGTGCACCCCCGCGACGCTTACGTGTTATACGTACAGTTGACTCCTCAGGTGGAGTCACATCACTCGACCTCGAGTTTCGGCCACGCAGGATCACTCGCCTAATCACAGAGAGGGCAGGGTGGTCCCGACCATCTTGTGTACAGGCTTGGGGAGAGGGGGTGGACATCCTCCGCAAGTGTACCCTCTCCCCCCTCCTTTCAGGTTCATCTTTAAAACATGACATCTGAATTGCTTGGCAGTTCGAACTCAGCGCGTTCGACTCATTTAACGCCTGCTTATTTTGTAATGTATACCTGCATTCTGCAGAGTTCAGCTGTGTAAGACTGCATGCAAATCGAAACTGTCGTTCCATCGATTTTTGAGAAGATTCAATAGCAAAATGCAATAACGCTAACTGGAAACCAATGCTTATTTTGAACTTCACTATAAAGCATGATTTTAATTATTTCAAACAACTAACAGTGAAACCTGCCTTTGCATAAAATATAGAAACGTCATTACAACCGGTGTTTTCCCTTATGGCTTTACTGGATTTACGCCACAGAGCGGGATTACAGTAGAAAAATTTAAATGGAATATCCGTCATGCATACATGTTTTCTTGGCCAATCCCCCAGTGTAGGTATGTGCCATCGTATCCAGACTACAAGCAAACAAACGAACAAAGCATACGCCACAGTTCACCCGAGGCTTGCAGCAGATGCAGCATTAGTATGCTCACTGTTAACTCTACCGACGTTCTGACTGCCTCGAAACACAACGATAAGCAACAATAGAAACTGATAGCGCTTATGGATTAAAAGACAGCGACTCTGACGAATGCTATGGGTAACCACTCATGATAACCACGTCACATGACTGCAAATCAAGCCACCAAAGGTAATGTCGGCTCTGGTGTAACCATAAAGTTTTCTAAATATAACTAGAAGGGACTCGGGCGCTGCGACCGTTCAGCGACCCATGGAAATGATGGGTAGTACACGAATTTGCCGTTAGTCTTCGTACTTGTGCGCCTCGAATCACGCTTGTGGCTTCGTTTATTGCCGTGTTTCGGTTTGTGTTTTGAAGGTAAGAACGAACCCTTTGTAACTTCGTGACACGATTTGAAATGGTGCGCCTGAAAGGTCAAGGTGGTGAAGTGTAATTGCTGAACATTAGCTGATTTTTGTTTCGTAACGAAGTAGCTCCAAGCCACGCGATGCCAACGGGAGCCAAAAGTACGAAAATTTGGCAAATCCGTGTACTACCCTTCATTCCCCAGCTCGCTGAAGCACCTTGCGTTGCAGCTCCCAGAGACACTAGCGCCAGAATTCCCTCTAGTGTATTTATACGAAACTCTATGGATGCGCGTATACCTAAGTGTTCCCGTCAAAATTACGCCGATATTACCCAAATTGTAGCGGCTGGAAGCACAAGTAGAATCAGAGCTAGGTAGAGCCTGGAATCTGTGGCACACAACCACACTGCAGGATAGGCCAAGAACCGTGTAGTTGTAACGAAATACTTTTATTTTGTTAGCTTAAGTCTTTTTAAATGATGAGAGGGATCAAGGAAAGCGAATAAATATCCGGAATGACCAAATAGAAACTACGGGTATAGAAAATGAAGCAGATAATTTCAACAACACAAAATAGATAAAACAATTTGGAAATCAGGAATTTAGGAGTAATAGTAAGCATGCTACTGAGTTCTTAATGTTCGCTTTTAAGTACGTGAGTACTATACCTAAAGAGTATGTTTAAGGATCTCAATACAAATAGAAACAAAAAAAAAGAACTGATGCCAACTAGTTTTCCCTAAAAACATTAATATTGAACGTAACCCACGCGTCTCTCATAGTCATAATGTGGCTTTGGGACGTTAAACCCCACATATCAATCAAATCAACCTAATTAGTGCCTAACACATACCGTTTTTAGAAAACTTTTTCCACACATGCATCATTATCATTGACTGAGGAAGGGAAAATGTGCTAAGCTATCATTATTTTTGCCCACTATGCGCAATGAGCCACCAAATAATGTCAGGTCCTATATCTTGTTTTATCTATTGAAGTCTTACCTGATTGTTGAAGCATATTAAGTTCTTTTGCATATGCTAATGATCATATATTGACCTCGGATGGCACGTGCGGGGCCAATAATACTAGCTCCACATTCTACTTATCTTAGCAGATTAAAGTGTCGGCAGCAATGATATCAACATTAAGTGCCTTTTGTCTTACACTGCTTCGACCACAACATGCGCGCGCAGCAGAAACGTTTCGTGCAACTCTGAATGTTGACGAAATCGCGAGTCGCAACATCGCTGCAATGTTCATGACCCCATATCGCGATTGCATTGTTTGAGATTCGTCAAGCGGGACATGTGACTGTCGACGGCGGCAGCTGGTGGTGCCGCGTGAAATCAAAATCGCGAAAATTCGTGGCGTCATTGTGACATCACGTGAAGTCGTTAAGTCAAAGGTGGGTCGATCTCAGAGGTCCTGCACAGCCGAGTGAGGTGCAGGTAGCTATCACAGAGAGGGGGGGGGGGCAGTGACAGCTCCAGAGGGGAGCGGTAAGGGCGATCGCCCCCCCCCCCTCACACACACTTAGTCTGCGTCAGCACCCCCCCCCCCCCCGTCCCACCTCACTTGAGTGCTTGTAGCCCACTTGCATCCCTAATTAGGACAAATGAGCGAAAACACTGCAAGCACACATAAACAATATTCATGCTATGAATGAGTTTTTCTGCTAGTCAAAATAGAACTCATGATCTTCTCCGGTATTACTTCAGGCGAATCACGCCCTCCCCCCCCCCCCCCCCTAAAATGAGTGGCTGGATCTGCCTCTGAGGGGTGGGGGCAGTACAACTGAATGGGAAAAAGAATTTCTTCGCCTTCTAGCCGACTTAGGCGATTGCATATAAGGATCCACGTGAAATTCAACCAGGACGGAGAGGGACGCAGGCCATGCACCGCATGATGACCTGCAAACACGCATTCTGCAGAGAGGCCACGAAACCCGCGATGTGCTTGCGCCACGGTTCAATGATGCGCATGAACAATGCAACAACACTGCCAGTGGTTCAAGCGTTTGATTCCTAGTAACCGCCACACTATAGCTATGACTATGTGGACTAGCTGGCGGAACATGGGAGAGGCCTTTGTCCTGCAGTGGACGTAGTCAGGCTGATGATGATGATGATGATGTGGACTAGTAAACTTGTGGTGTGTGTACTTGATATGTCGTTTATTGTTATTTATAGCGTTTGTAGCGAAATTTCGAACGTATACGAACAACTATGTCTGAGAGCATTCCACAAGCTAATGAAAAAGTCGCAAATATAATTTATTTTTCTCACTTTTGGTGCGAAGGTTCGAGACGTAGCTGGTGAAACGGAGTATCGAGAAATGCGCGTTGCGGTTAGTATGGTCCCTAGAATATGCTACGGTTAGTCTCGCACATTCCCGTCGGCAAACTTCGGAGGCGTTTGAGAAAGAAGCTGGGCAACTTTGACCTGAGAGTACTGCGAAGGATCGTGCACAGTTTCTTTCGCGGAAACGAGATCCCCACTGTCGCCAAACGCCCGCGCGACTTCGAAAAGGACAGCGAGCTGCCGTTCATGTCGACGGCAACTATGCACGGGATGTTAAAGTGCGCCACGAAATGTGCCATGTTTGTGCGCATGTCAGGAAACTGTCGCATTCTGTTGTGTCTCTTCTGTTAGGTTTGTCTAGCGGCATGACGATGCAGTGAAAAACAAACCTGCTGGTACAGTAAACACGCACGCCGACAATTTGGCTCTGCTCCTTATATATGCCGACTTTGTGTAGATCGTGGAAAAAAAGCAGTGGTGGCGTCACGTTATTTGTGTAACTGTAAATGATGATTATTCACAATAACACCTGCCATAGACATCCCCACAGTGGTTTGGGTGTCTGAGGAGAGAAGTGTCACGTAATTCTGGTACAAGGTGAAAGACCTCTGCTTCAAGGGCGCTTGGCAGGTACAGACATTCAGAAAGTATGTCATCACGCGTGCTTTTTTTTTTTGTAATTGCAATTCTGGCATACGTCGTCATGAATAAGTCCCGAGGTGTTAACGAAAAACAGCATTGCTTTAAAGAAAACGACGAAAATACTTCCTAAAAACAGGCGACCTTCGGATGTTCTCATCGGATTCCGCGAGGAGCAATCGCAGTAGCGGACACTTTCTAATTACACAAACGAACAAGCCCACTTCTTGAACACTGCGGTGTGGTGCATTTGGCATCATGCAGCAACAACAGGTTAACGGTATAATTTTTTCTTTCATTTTCTGTTCACCCGACAGGATTTGAACTTCGGTCCACTGGGAGGTGAACATTCCCGCGGAACAAGCACTAAACCGATTAGGCCACAGCTAAAGATGCGCGCGTATTAATACAACGCGGCGGAACTCGCGTTTGTGATTGGTTGAAATTGTCGTAGCCTTCATAGTGCTGCAACCAGCTCATGAGATGGAAGCATATGCAAGGTCTTTCGACCTAGCTTACGAGCCGCTGCAGCGTTTTCCTCTTTGCCCATAAGCCCACACACTGTCTTGAACGAAAGTGCACCGCTTAGAGTCGGCGTCATTCTTTTACCCACACGCAGGATTGGCACACTACGATGGCTCGGCAGACGGTCGCGGCGGGATTGCTCTGCACGGCACTGTTCCTGGCGCTGGCCAGCACTCGCGCGGGTTGCCGGGCCATGCCGGTCCGGCAGGCGGCCGCAGCATCGACGGTGGACACTGGGAACACCGTAGCCGCCGCGAGCAACTGCACGAAGGACTCGCGTGCCAAGGCCATTTGCGACGAATGCATCTACGTGACCGGGGCCAGGGAGTCGTACGAACCCTGCTGCGCGAACCTCAACCGGTTGCAGGAGTACTGCGAGCACTTCCTGCGCTACTCGCCGGACTCGAGCGTCAACGAGACCGCCGCCAGGGAGCGCCGCCGGCTCTGAGCGACCGAGCGGCGATATGCCGATGTGTACTACCTGTGAGGTTCGGCGAAAGCCGCTCGTCGAATGCTGCAAATGTGCTGCAACTATAGTGCTGGACGAGCTTCGACGGCATCTCACTCCCACTCAATATGAAGTCAATGTTGCCAGAACTCCCACTAGTTTCCATCGTTGCCGTACTCTTTCACACACACACACAAAAAAAGGAGTCTCGTGGTAATTACACGCCCCTCTCACATGTATAACTACTTAAAGGGACACGTTGACCTTTCTTTCTTTAAAGGAGTGGTGGGATGCATAACTACCTTTAAAGAGACAAGTTGACTCCCTTTTAGAGAGTCGTGCGTCCCATGACTCTCTCAGGAAGAGTCAACTTGTCTCTCCTAAGAGCGTTAGACAGCTAGGTCACATACGTAGCAAATATAAGTAAAATAACTTTTTCATTACAGTGTGCTGAGAAAAACGCCATGCGTTCTCAGAATTAAGCATGTTTTTCGCATTGCTCGAGCGGAAACGGCGGAGTTGAAAAGTAACATGTAGGATTTTCGTATACGTAAGACGGAATACCTAAGGAACTCCATTGTGAGAACTCTCAGCAAAAGCTGTGACCCTGCTGGGTCGCGTCTGCTTAGCTGAACATGGCCTTTGTGGAGCCCTTGTCATAAAAATCGAAAGTAGAAGTTAAGACGTCCGCATTGCCATGTGGACTGGGTTCATTATTTAAAAGCAAGCGTGGTGGTAGTAAACTGATATACAGGTACAATAACCACCAAAAAAGAGTCATACAAGGAAAATGCCGTTACTGCAGTCAAAGAAGTACAGCAGTCAGTCAGTCAGTCAATGAACTTTATTTACAAATTGTCCTGAGGAGCCGATTCCCCTCAAGAGGGAGGGTCGGCTGCGGGCCGCACCCACGTGGGGACAGGAAGAGCGAGCTCCTCCGCCAAAGTGCAGCAACTATGGAAAAAGTAGTCAAATGTAGTAAGCACAGTTGCTTCCAATACCAACTTCGCCAAAGAGGAGTTAAATACGAGAAGCGAAGTTACTTTCATGAGAAGGGTGTTTTGGGAACTCTGTTTGTAGATGCGTTGGCACAGCACAAAAAAACATGCGGCTTCGTTTTTTTTTCGGTTTTTTTTCTCGATCACAGTCACGAGTTGAACCGCGGTCGCACGAGACCATTCGCGCAAAAATGCCTGACAGTACGCGGTTGCGATTTTCAGCCAATCGTATGCAAAAATCGTAAGCCGGACAAAGCCTTCAGATCTGTAAAGAGCACACTGACCAGCGACACGGACCTGTAAAATAGTTGGCATGAAAGCTAACAAGTAAAACGCAGGAAAGTCGCAGCTTTGATCACAGGGACGCACCCTTTGACACCTGTAGTTAATGAAGATTATTGTTACAGTTTTACTCCACGCCGACAAATACTCGATGGGAAATATGCAACGTGTACATAGGAATGTAAATAGAGCATAATGTTTATACGCGGGACCCACGTTCATACAGTATTGTATTCAGCTAACGTCATAACACATCTCTGGCGAAACGACCAACCTGAAAATGCCAGCAATGTGTGCTGGATGTTTTGCACTTGTACAAAGTCCATAAGAAAAGTTGCCTTCAGCTTGCACGTTCAAGTGACAAGTGTCATACCCATGATTGCAGTTCACTCACGAATGTAAATAGCACATAAAACTGCTCAAATCATGCCTCTTTAGCTATCTTGCAAACGTGTTTTTGTTATAATAAAAATGACCTCCGTACTGAAAATGAAGTGTACGTGTCTCGTTTTCTCAGCCGCGTCATCACATTAAACCGATTTCAATCAAAGAGCTTTTGAAATATTCCACTTGAGAAATGATTCTCACATTGTCATTCTAAAATTAATTTTGTAGGTTTAAATTTATCGTAGATAGATCTACAAACAGCTAGAGGCGTTCACGATATGAACTATTGCCAGCATTTTAATCATCTGTGTCCGGTGCTCCTAAATGAAATACTCTCAAGTGACCAATCCTAAATGTACAACAAGGTGGCCAACTTATTTGCATAATACACTGTTAAAGAGAAAGCAGTAGCTCCTAGGTGTCAATAGTTTGACGACGAGTGCCCTCATTAAAAAAAACAAACTGAGAAGCAGGAATCCAAACCACCAGCCACATGATACTTATGCAACAGGTTCTCATGGTGTGCAATTTGGGAAGTACAATACTCGGTTGATTCAGTTTTTCACAAAAGCTGCTTCCAATATTTCACTTTTTCAGATTCTACAGAAATGCCACATATCAATATATTTGTCTAAAAATAAAAACATAGCATTCATTTACTCACAGAATCTAGAAGTTCATTTAAAACACAATACTTTACAAAGAACAAGTTGATCATTAAAAGACACAAAATGCTTATTTTTCACCAAAAGATACGGGCCTTGAAACTGTTCCACAGACTTTGTCATTCAACGATGAATGAGCTTTCTTAACTAGCTGAGCCGGCAACCTCAAGACCATGGGCGTGTGCACGAAAGTCTGCCCTACCCAATGACCTAATAGAGAGGGGGCGCTGTCTGCCTGACAAATTGACATAAGTAGAGGTGGGGGGTGCTGCAACGGACCTTCACCCCTTTCCCCTGAAAGGAAATCCTGCACAAACCTATGCTCAAGACTCCCCTCTTCTGGCAGATACTACTGGTTGCTTTTAGACAGAGAACACCACAGATGAAACCAGGATTCCATTAACAGAGAGGGAGAAAATAACTGTACAAAGTAAACAAGAAACACCAAGTTTCTTAGTTATATAAAAAATATCGATCTTAGGTGATTGGTTTGCTTGAAATGAATACCTTAATATGAATTATTAAATTTTATCAGTTACATAAGGCAAGTATAACGTCAACTACGCACAAGTGACCTTCACCAGGCAGCATTTATGCTTTATGAGCATGGGTATGTCTTTTTTTTAATGCGAATGCATTTCTTAGTCGGGCTATGTCAGGCATCCGGCGTTGTCCGCACGCCGGCAGGTGTTCTTTCTTCACTTTCACTCCCTCTCCCATAACAAAAGCTGCGGGCGCATACGCTCATCCCCACCCCTAGCAAACGGAGCATGTGGTAACAGTGCAGGAGAGCGTAGGTACAGCGCTTTGTCGCTCCGCTCACCGTTCGCTCCCCCCCCCCCCTGCACCCCACTTCGCCGCCCACTCCCGCCTCACTCTCCACTGTTACGCTGGCTGGGCGCCTCTTAAGAGCATCCGGATATGTGTGCTCGAGACACTGCTGGGAAACCATAGAGTTTCCTACAATACTTACTAGAGGGAACTCTGGCGCTGGTGTCTATGGGAGCTGCAACGCACGGCGCTTCAGCGAGCATGGTAATGATGGGTAGTACACACATTTGTTTAATATTCATACTTCTGGCCTGCTTTTGGCTCCGTGTGTGTTTGTGTGGCTTAAAGCTGTTTTCTTACGGAACAAGTATTAGCAAATGTTCAGCGGTTGCGCTTCACCATTTTATTTTTTTAGACTAACTTTCTCAATCGGCTCACAAAGTTCAAAAGGGTTCGTTCTTTTTTTTTCAAAACAAAACTGAAACACAGCAATAAACGAAGCCGTAAGTACGATTTGCCGCCCGCAAGTACGAAGACTAGGCAAATGTGTGTACTACCAATCATTCCCATGGTCGCTGGACGATCGCAGCGCCAGAGTGCCCTCTAGTTAATTTTGAGAAACTCTGTGTGAAAGACCAGTCGACGCATAAAGCCACACGGACTACATCGATACCAAGTATTTCACTGTGGGTGAGCTTTTTGACACTTTTTCGAGACTCCTCTGTTTGCCCATCTGCTCAGCTGAGTGCGCTAGGCTTAGGCTACGGCGGAGCGGCCGCCGGCCCTTCTCGGAAGGGTGTTCCAGCACTCTACGCACGGCATGTCTATGCAAGTCTCTGTCGATGGGGAGGATATCACTCCCGATGATCTTCAAGATTCTGGATGGTCTGTGGCTACCACTAAACGTAAACTTCGTGGGACGCATACCCCCAGGACCGAGACGCAAGCAAGCGTCTCCATGCACGGCGACGCGTGGTCGCCTCAGCGCTCCCGGGCTGCGGTGAAGAAGCGTCTTATCGCTGCTTCTAGACTTCCTTACCTTCCAAGAGATCACCATCGAGTCATCGTGAGACCTAGAAATGGCCTGGACATGAGAACTGTGAGTCAAATTAAGTTCGCGAAGGCACTCGCAGTGGCTGCAGCGCTCAGTGAGGAAGAAGTCACGGAAGATGTGGTATGCCCGAATATGATGCAGAACATTGCAGTTATAAGCACTCCAGCGGAGAGGAACGCCAGAGCGTATTCCAAGATCACCGCCATTACTCTCGGTACCACCAGTTTTGATGTTAGTGCCTACCGAGCTGCCCCCGACGACACCTGCAAAGGTATCATCAGAGGTGTTGACGCGGACATCGGTCAAGAACAACTTTATTCACTTATTGTACACCCAAGGAACCCGACTGCACTCCAAGTGAAAAGAATCAAGAATTTCACCACGGTTATCGTCCTCTTTGACGGACTAAAAGTGCCAAATTACGTCATATGTGGAAATAGTTTGGTTCGCTGCACCCTGTATCGTCGACAGACCGATGTCTGTTATGCCTGTGGAAAGCTAGGTCATCGAGCCGATGTTTGTCCCCATCCAGAGGAGGCCGTCTGTAGAGGGTGTGGTATGTCATCTCCTTCGGAGGGTCACGTCTGCACTCCAGAATGCAAGTTGTGTGGGGGTCCACATCTCACGGCAGACAAGACGTGTAAGCATCGTTTTCAAGTACCCTACATAGTCCGTCGACGAAGACGAGAACGACGGTTGCAATATACGATGGAATTTGCGGAACAAGACGCCGACGACATGAACTTCACAGATAGTGGAGGAGACTTCCTATCGCTACCAGCCACTGCAGGCGGCCGCGCTACGACTGAGCGCCCGAGCAGCAGCTGGCGCCCGCGTGACGTCAGCCAACAGCTACAACCACCGCGAGGGCGATCCCGTTCCAGAGGCAGAGCAAGGGGCCGTTCGAGATCCAGAGGACATTCTAGATCCAAGGGCCGTTCTAACTCACGTGTGCCTACCGTCCGCAATGGTTTGCAGCAAGGAAATCAGCACCAGACCTGGGCATCCAAGATCAAGGGCTCCCAACCACAGGTA